GCAGCTATTGGAAACCCAGTCAATTTCAGGAAGGTTAAAATCCCCAGTGATTATTTTAACATCGAAAGCACCTTCCGAAATTAATTTAAAGATTTCACAGAGTTGAGAATCATCACTGGCTAAAGAATTTGGGGGATTGTAGATACAGCCAATAATTGCCTTTCTTTGCGGCGAGAGAATAACAGATGCAAAGCAGAAGTTTCCCGTGAATGAGGAAACATCCAAGTAATAGGGAGAGTGCTTTAGGTAGGATTTAAGATAAAGAAGAAAACCACCCCCACGCCTAGTCGTGCGGTCTTGGCGGTAAAAATCGAAGTCATCTATGAGAAGGGCAGAGTCAGGAATTAGAGAATGTGTCCAAGATTCTGTGTCACATATAATATCAGGCGTCATTTCCAGAGCAATGGCTCTGATTTGGTCCATCTTGTTTATAACAGACCTGGCATTCAATAATATAATATCTAATGTGTTTCGAACGGCAATGCTATTTTCGACGGTATTTAAAAAAATTTGGAGGCGGATATGTAAGCTGCGAAGTAATGACACTTGGAGAATAAGTACCAGTTAATTTGAAGTTATTGACGTATGGGGAGTCAGCAAGAGAAGGCTGAGTATGAGACCTAAAGGAGGTGGGGATATAGTTTTCAAACATTGGAATGCTAGGGGAGTTAGAACATGGATAGACTTGTTGGTAGTTAAATAATGGAGGAAGGGGAGGAGGAGGAGGAGGAGGAGGAGGAGGAGGGAGGCTAGAAGGAAAGTAGGGGCTAATGGGCGAGGGTAGGCCACTAAAAGAATGAAATGGTGGGAAACCAGGTCTGGGTTGGAAGTCAAAGGAGAAAGGTTGACGAACCTGAGAGCAATTGGCCATAAGTGGTGGGAAGCCTGAACTAGGTTGGGGCATAAATGATTTAGGGCAATTCATGTATGAATTAGTTGCTGGATATATAGTAGGGCTTTGATAAGTAATCGGTACGCAGGACAGAGAATTATTCGAGGATATAATTGGAGCTGCGGGATTTGTAGACGTGTTGGGCTGAACAGACTTGTTAGATATAAGAGAAGGCGTCGTACCTCCAAATGGAACTGTACTACCTTTCTTTTGGGTCGGAGTCTGATTCAATTTTCGAGTCTCACCGTTCTGACGCCAAGCCACAGGTGACTTAGCTGTAGACCTTACAGCACCCAGTTGGACAATAGAAGTTATCGGTCTAGCTGATGTAGACGGATTTTCATGTGTCTCAGCGGGACTATCCGGAGGATACGAAACGACAAATGGGGCTGCTGCTGCTGCTGCAAGTTTAGGGGCAGGCAAATGCGTCAAGTGGTTCGAGTGAGATGGAGATGTCGGAGAAAGAGGAAGGAGGGAGTCAGATGTCGCAGGAGTAGGAGAAGCTGAATCCTTACGGCCACTTGTATTATGACCGAGTTGGGGAGCATTAGACTGAGAAGCTGAATCCTTACGGCCACTTGTATTTTGACCGAGTTGGGGAGCATTAGACTGAGAAGCAGTAGGTTTACGTGAGAATAGAGACCCCATTCTACGCTCCATAGGAGTAAGATCATGACAAAGGAAAATTTTTGACTTCTCTAGGTACGCAGTGACACGCTCTCGATGGGTAAAGATTGTGTCAACCTCGATTGATGAAAACAATTTGACTAAGATGGGTGGATTTGTACTACGGGAGGACAAGCGTTTGGCATCCGCTATTTTATAGTTGAAACCACATGAATACAGGAAACTGGTCGCAACATCAATTGGCCAAGCAGATCGAGGAACATTTTTTTAGCAGGAAGTTGTAAGAACGCTTCTGTCTATCACTAGATTCACTGGCGATCAGGTGAACAAGTGAGTTGAGACGCCTACATTCTTCAGAGGGAATATCGGATATGTTCCCGTCGAATAAATGTCCAAGAATTGTCAGCAAAGAGCCAAACTTTAGCATAAAGTCATTGCAGTGGTCAAGTGCAGACAGATTAAGCTGCCGACCAATTACAACGGGTGACGACTGACTAGTAATATCATCTGACTTAGATTTAGGTAAAGCTTCTGACTTACGTTTAGTTAGGCCATGTTTACTTACAAGAGCCGAGAGCTTACGTCGACCAGTGACTTTTGGTCTCATCTTGTCTCGAGGCAATTTGTGATTAAGAAAACTTCTGGCAGACAAGTTGACTGAATTTCAGCTAGGGGCTAACGATGTAAAAATAAATTACAACAGTTAGAGAGAAATCGGATGCACAAAATGAGAATTGCAAAGTGCGATTAGTGAACAACGGGCATAGACTAGCAAAACTCGAAAGGAGATGGCAGCGGGCAGTTCTTAGAGAAAAGGCCTGTATTTAAGGAAATTCAAACAAAACAACAGGTACTAAAATCGTTAGATCTCACAGAAAAACAACTAAAAATAATATCCTCCACTTATCTTCAAATTTAAAACCAGCGGCTTGACCTTGACCTCGAAGCGAAATAGGAGGGAGTAGTGAGACAGATTTTGCAGGAGTACGATGAATTGAATTTTCACGGTTACTTGTAAGTATTTGACTGAGAAAACGAGGAAGGATGTGGGAATGGGGTCTCATTTCTACCCTGTGTGGGGATAAGATCATGACAAGGTAAAAAATTCGCGTCTTCATGTTATGCAGATACACGATCTTGGCCGGCAGCGGTAGAATTGAAGAAAACAACTTGGCTAGATTGGGAGGATTTTGTTACTGGATGGCAGGCGTTTGGCATCCGCTACTTTAGAGTTGAATCCACACGAGTACAGAAAATCAACCGCAACATCAACTGGCTGTGCAGATCGAGAAATATTTTTCAACAAGAAGCTATAAGCTCTTTTTTGCCTATCATTCGATTCAATAGCAACCACGTGTACGAGAGAATCGAGACGTTTGCATTCTTGAGAGGGAGTATGGGGGAAATTCACATCAAACAATTTCCCCAGAGTTGAGAGCATAGTCACAAACTTAAGCATAGAATCGTTGCGCCCGTAAGGCGCAGGCAGATCAAGCTGCCTATCAATAACAACAGGTGACGAATGTCCATCACTGCTATCTGACCTGGACTTAACTGAGCCAGGCCTGCGTACAGAAGCTTTCGCTAACCTGTGATTTTTTCCCTTATCTTACCTGGAGGCAAGTTACAATTAACTAAAATTTCTGACAGACCTGATGATCAAATTTCAGCGAGAGTTTGACGGTGTAAGAGATTGAACACGGTTAGAGACAGTGCGAATGCGCAAAATGGGGACTGCAAAATGCGACTAGTAGTCAACAGACACAGTCTAGAAAAACTTAAAAAGGGAAGGGTAACCTATAATTCTAAAAGACTACGTCTGTATTTAAAGAACTTTGCTTAAAGACAAAAGTAAAAAGTATTTGTGTCTTTTATAAAAATCCCGTTTTATAATAACTTCTATTTATTGTCATATTTTAAATCAACAGTCGGGTATCGGTTCAAACTGGTGAATCGTGACGTGCATAGGCCGCGATCAAGACTGGTAAAAATATTCCCATCAAAAGGCTTGCCAGATATGCAAAAGAGAGGCATTCTACTATAAATATTTCTGCAATTACATAAACCGCTTAGATCAGGTGAGATGGCATAATAAATTAGGTTGATAATGCGGGTTTATGATTTGAAAACCAGATTTTATGAAACAGTACATAGATAGGGAGGTAGAAACCCTATGCTGACCAGTGACCTTTGTCCTCTTTCTGTACGTAGGTTGTTCAGTATTTTTTGAGTAAACGTTGAGCGGCGCGACAAGGTACACATCTAAGGATGTCTAAATGGGAAAACTAGAAATTGGGTGACAAAGGCCAGACTTTGGAAGGAAGTTGAGCAAATTTAGACCACTGATTCCAGTATCAAACTGATGCCAGTCCAGTTGCCTCGAAGCATGAGCTTTAAGTTTGACCATATCTTCTAGAAAAGTTCCTTTTATATAATCTTCACTGCTTCTCAAAATCAAAGCAACGCGTTAGCCTTGACACTCAAATTGTTCTTTAAAGTTGGCCTGGTCTTGGAACGTTTAATGTAGAGTCGCGTGCAGATACATCACTAAATTTGATCACAAACTAAAACGACGCTACTAGTGACATCAGGCGGCAACTCTACTTATATTTACTGCCATTGAGTTAATTATCGACCTCTGACAAATCAGTTGACCCTGTTAACTCGTGGCCCTGTTCTTAAGTGGGTTAAACGGAAATGGACGGAATCTTGGCCCCAGTCGAGGATTAGTTCGCCCTTTACTGACAAAAGTCATAGTTTGTACCGTGATTTTTTCGGCTAGTGATGGAGTGGATGCGCAATTTACACAGATCACCGTGCTACTTCCCGTCATTTTTTGACCTTACCTTGTGGTCCCATTCGTCATCCTCCCTAAGGCGGGGTCGTCGTTAGGGACGGCGTGTCCCAGTCTCCCGAAAACAAATGACGGGAAGTAGTCCACAGCTGCTATTTTTTCTACAGGGTGGTCGACGCATAGAACGAACCCACGCTTACAGCATTAAAAAACTGAAGTATTATAGGTTAATTATACTGATCCATATGGTTCAGTGCTATTTGTTCGCAAATGCTATTTGGAATTCTCATTCACCATAGGCCTGTGCTTCAATCCAAATGAAATCTTATATTGTCAAAAATTCAGTAGGAGGCACCGACTAGTCACTCAATCGGCTAGCCAATTAAGTAATGCTTACGCCTAGGAACGCCAAAGCCAAGTAGAGGTTTGGTTGTGGGCGGAAACCATGGCAGGTCATGTAAAAAAGAGTTATGATATGCAGTTGTCTTTTTGGAATTCAGCGCATGCTTGTTTTTTGAGCTTTCCATAATTGGTAGTGCAACTATAATTTAGTGTGAGAAACTGAATTAAAGCCGGGCCTTTACCAACTCAACCATTTTTAATATTCTGAAACCGGACACTGTTGTTTATTACAGTATCCGCGTGGCCGCCCTGTTTAGCCTGTGTGGTCGCTTTTTCGGTATCAGAATGAATGCTCTGCGTACGCTTGGATGTCGTTCCATCTTCAGTCGTCTTCCGTTAGCTGCTTCGAGGTAGGCAACAAATTTTTTCTACTTTGAACGACGCAGCTCAAGAATATTCGGTTTCAGCACAGAGTCGCCCCAGGCCACTGACAATAAACCCGAACAGCCAGTTCCTCCTAAGCCAGACATCGAAGCCCTCTTAGCAGAGAACAAGAAAGCCATAGAAGCAAAAAATGAATTTGAAGATAAATATAAGAGAGCACTTGCTGAAGCGGAAAATGTGCGGAAACGCATGCTACGACAAGTTGAGGAGGCAAAGCTCTTTGGGATTCAGTCGTTCTGCAAGGATTTACTGGAAGTTGCCGATATCTTATCCAAAGCCACAGAAAGTGCCCCGGAAGATCAGCTTAAGCCTAACGTAAACCCGCACTTTTTCCAACTTCACGAGGGTCTAAGAATGACAAACGCACAATTGCTAAAGGTTAGTTTGTGTGTAGTCGTGCCTCATTTATGTGATAATACTTCGGTGTGTATTGCAGCCATTGGTGCACCCGTCAGTATTTATCGGCATGCAAAACCCTGGATATCTTGTTTCGTCGCGATTCAGGGCTTTAGCTGTGTACGCGCATCGCTCTCGTCATGCGTTTGGCAGCCGGTTGTAGTTTTTCGGACACGTATGCGTTTTCATATTTCTAAAGCACATGCAAACTGCTTATATCTCACATGCGGTCGATCATGGGCTTCAGGCACTTCTAAACCTTTAACGTCATGCTGTCTTTCTTGTTAAAGCCTTTACCTTTATTCTCATGCGCGTGACCTGCCTGGCGTCCCGGCTCGGGAGTTCTGCAAACAAACGCGCTGCTTTAGTGTCACTTGGATTAGTTCATGTAGTCGTTGTGTACTTCCCTTCAGGCTTCAGATGAGAGTAACGCACATCGTCTCCTTTTGAACGCCATGGCGTCCTTGTCGAATAAGGACTTCAATTGGAATTCCTGGCGGCACGAAGCCACCCCATGAGGCATCCGAGCCATTAGGGTTTTGCGCTAGAATAACCATTTTCTGCCGGTCGCGGTTAACACCGCCATTCAGCACTTGAGTAGTATCCCTAGTTTCCCACCGTGCGTCTGTTCTTTGGCAGAAATCACAGACCCCTACCAGTATACACGTCATGTGTCCCTTCCGGCCGCCGTGACCATGAATTATGATTAATTTGTCGACCACTGACGTTAATAGGCCATCTCTGTTAACAAGGCATCTTCACCGTGCAAACCTACCTTGCCTTTAGACAGGGCTGGGGGCATCACCGTCCTTGTCATTGGGATCGTGCATATTTATTAGGTACATTTGGTCAAACCCAATAACGGACGTATCAAGCCTCTGTGAAACATTTCGTCAAGCAACCCGTCTCCGTCCGCTTACCGTTGATTGCTTCTGGCTATAGTCGTCACTCCCTGTCCTCCTGTACGAAGACACCAGCCGTGCTGCAGACTGTTTCAAAGGGTATCTGCGACAATTTGCACACGTTCTTTGACGCTCATCCACGGTTTTAGGGCTGTTACCCTAAATCGAAGGCTCCGGCCCTGCACAACAACCGAGCCACCGTCGTAGAAGTTGTTTAGACAGTTCTTGGGTGTATGATATTTGGTCTTCGCCGCCCCAGGCGAGTTCATCTGATCGGCTACTGCAAATCATCGCGCAGGGGCATTATTTATAAAACACCGGAAGCAAAACAGGCCGAGAATCGATTGAAGCCTGGGCCTCGGATGATAATTCAGTCGATCGATTTATCGACCTGGCGCCGGCATGCAGAGCCCTGCGCGGTCGCCTCCAGTTTCGCACCGTCGCTCGATGATTGGCCTACACACCCTGTACCTGTCGCTCGTTCTGTTGCTGCTTCTATCTCTGACAATGGACTTCTGCACGAGTTCGAAAGCTCAAAACAATAAACAAAATGTTCCGATGCTCGACCCCTCTTCTTCCTCACTTAGACATTATTTATGCCGAACAGTCCACGTGTAGCGTTACTTAGCCCAGACCCTGTCCTGTTTGATCATGTAACCTTTGACGATCGTTCGGCGCTCACAGGCAGGGGCGATGCAGTGCTAGTCATAGGGTTGGTTTTCAGCCATGTCATCCTGTTCGGAATTTAAGCTTTATATTCGTTTAGCACTGCCCTGGACTTTGTATTACCCTTGAATCTATAGTCTTCGACATTAGTCTGCCAAACACCAAGATGTTATCAGGCACACCGCGCCTTAATGGAGGGGGATAGCTGTCTGGCGTGAGTACCGTGTCAATATTTTTCGGCGCGCGCAGATGTTAAAATGCCTCCGTTCATCGAAGTCTGCGGGTGCCTGCCTTGGGAATTGCCTCCGCGTATTTGCTTCCAATTTATGTCTTGGTTCTCGGTTGGATTCACTTTCCGTTATTCGGAGTGATCAGCAATGTTACGTGTGAGGCGGCCCGCATCGGCTCCCATGGTAGTCGGTGCAGGCCTCAGGACCAATAAGCATGTTTTCCTTCGAGGGCGGACAAGGCCGTCTTGCTAGTCTTCCCGTTGATTACCCAGCGTGTTCATGAATAGCTGGTACGGCAATGATCTCTCGTGTAAATTAATTATTACGTAGAAAGGCTTTCAATTAGGATGAGTAAGCACTGACGCACCAGCAGTGGCAATGGCAGCAAGATGTGGGAGGCAGGCAGCCGCTCCGTTAAATGCCAGTCAGTCTGATGAGGGCACTGGCGACCATAAATCGCCATTGGACAAATTCACCCTACTTCTGACGTCTTGAGGACTTGACCTCTTTTTAAAAAGCACATTGACGACAGTGAAATCCACACTAAACCCTGGAATTTCTATTTTGGCTCCTAAACCGCTAATCTTGACCAATGCCACGACGTCCACGACAACCAGCGCGCCCGGACCTCTGCTATTAATTTTACAAGCTGACCTACTTGGAAGGCGGAGCCGCACATCGCATTCTAAAATACAAGAAGTCTTGATCCGTCAGCCTTCGACCCCATCATGCTATCGTTGGCGCAGTACGGTATGGACGCGCTTGCTAGAGCACTGCTCGCGAAGCTTCCAATACTACAGTGGTGTCACGGGCTACTACGGTTGATATGACATTGTGGTCGTTCTGAGTGGTCGGGCCAAAGCTCCCTATATTCGCTGAGGCTCGATGTTGCTCAGGAATACATACGTGTTTGCGGCGAATTTAAATGCCAGGAGACCAACGTGTGATACATTTACTAGACGATTCCGTGACCACTACGCAGTGGTAAACTGTTGTGCGAATGAGGGGTGCTTGGCAGTTCCTCCATTGTGCACTGGTACCCTAGTAGACATATAATCACCTGGTGCCCTATTGATAGCCGCACTCGCAGCACAGCATCAGCAGCTGTTGCCGATAGCATAAAACAAGACCAACTGGTCTGTCCTGCCGTGGACTGTTGACTAAGTAACCCACCTTTTTAATAAGATAGGTGCAAATCGTATGTAATTGTTTTCGCTTTCGCCAAATGTTTACTAATGTGGTACCTCGAGTCAAACGCGCCCGCATGCTTCTAAGTCTGGCAGAGCGCCCTACCTGCCTCGATTCAGATTCCCCAACGATGCCGATAGATGGTCATTGTTGTTCTGTTTTGGTGCACAACCAGTTACTCCCAGCCAGCGGACGTTTCGTTCGAGACTCCATCCTAGTGCATTTAGATTTTACTTTTCGGCCCACATCCAGTCCTGGTATTCATAGTCCACTTTTCTGCTCCAAGGTTTTCGGGAAGCACCACCTGCACAAGATCGCTCCTGCAGTCGGGGACAAGTTCGACCCAAACCTCCATGAGGCCGTTTTCACGGTCCCCATCGAGGGAGAAAATCAACCCAATACCATCGCCAGCGTCACAAAAGTGGGCTTCCGCCTGCAAGACCGAACTCTGCGGCCAGCTTTTGTGGGTGTGTTCGTGACCTCAACCTAATTTAGTGTGTGCTTTCAGGTAGTATCCCCCCTCCCTTTTGCAATGCCACCTCAAAAGACATGTACACACCCCTCTGCCTGGCCCTTGGGCCCCAAAATAGCCTGTAAAAAAAACACCACCTCCGCTCCTAGTTGCCGTGTTTCATTCTTCAAGCCTAGCCAGTGTACATGTGTGAGCATGGACGTCTTTTGCTGCGCCTATTGGATTTTTGTGACAAGCGTGTCTTTCGATTTGCATTGCTCCTGTCCATTATGCGACTGTTTCTATCATCTTCTTATCCTAACATTCCCTACTGTGCATAGAGTAATAAAGGTCTCGAGGTGCAGTCTGCCTTCCAACGTCATTTTACAGTAGACTTCTTCCGGATGTTTTTTTAAATGGGTGACCCGGATCGAGCTTAGAACAACTTCAGACCCGTGAAGTAAGTATAGTCTGGCCGCAGATTTAGCCGCGCGTTTGATACTCAGGTGAGACAGTTCCCCGTTTGACGGTGGCCGAAGCTACTCGACAGGAATTATCGTTTCCGTCCACTGTCCGCCTGGCCCAAACGTCAATCGACTACTGGCTTTTCTTGCTTCTAGTAAGGGCGATTACCTTGGTGACTGCAAGGTTGAACTCATGACCCATTTCGAACATGTGGACAGCCACGGGGGATAATTGGCCGTCCCTCTGTGTACGCTTGATGCCAAGGAAGCGGCCGTCAGTGTGGACCACCCTCCTGGGTACTCCTCCAAAAGTATCCCTACGGTCATCTCTTTCCCGATACCCCTCTCGATCCTTCAACTCCTCTGCAACTTCATGACCAATTATTCCACTCACTGCACTGAGTCAAAAAAACGATTGTCGAGTTACAGTACTTTCGACGAGCGTTCAGAGCCGATGGCTACCCACTCAACTTCGTCAACCGGTGCGTACGCAAACGCGACGAAATGCCCAACCGCACGGACCCCACATCTTGGCGAAGAACGTTTCGAGAGCCGTCCGCCGCCTCGCACCACTTGGGGCTTGGGCTGCACATAGACCGGAGGCAACCATCAGCCGTCAGATAATGAAACCGAAAGACCCACTACCACGGCCAGAAACGTCTGAGGTCGTTTATCGGATCTGGTGTAGTTGCGGTCAAAGCAATTACATCAGTGTTGCGTATACGCGAACCACAATGAGATCGCGGTCTAAAGCGGAGGAGCGTGTGACCACGCGCCGCGCAGTAGGCCAAGCCGACTGTGAAATACACACGTCAAACCAGCCAGCAAATCAGCATGTACTGCTGTATCGAATGCGCATGAAGTCCTTGCTCACGCGTGCGGTCCAAATACTCGAGATTTCGCAAGGGGCTTCCAGTGTGAGAACAAATAATAATTTCTAAGCCTGACAAAGGCCATGGAGTTGTTATTCTTAACCGGAAGGACTATGTGAGGAAAATGAAGTGTATCTTAGATGATCAGAGCAAATTTCGTCTAGAGGCGTCTGGGAAAGATGAAACCAAGACATTGGAAGACTCAGTCTGGAAAAAGGTTCAAAAGTTGTTGGACAAAAACCTGATTGTAATTAAAACCGCACTTATCCTAAAACCGAGAGGTACACATATCCCCAGACTATATGGTCTACCAAAAACGCATAAAAAGGACACACCTTTACGACCAATTCCTTCTATGTCTAGTTCACCTACACACAGACTAGCAAAATGGCTTGTCAAGGAGCTAGAACCAATTCGGCAATTGTTTTCTACCTACACGATAAAAGACAGTCTTCATTTCATTGAAGAAATTAGGGACCAGAACATCGCCGACAAGTGTATGATCTCTTTAGACGTGGAATCCTTATTTACCAATGTACCATTGGTTGAAACAATAGATGTTATATGCGCCCATGCGTCCAAAACCCGACTCTCCCCCGAGCTACTACGAGATCTGTTGGTACTTTGCGCCAAAGATGTTCAATTTCTGTTTAATGGGGAACTTTACAGACAAATTGACGGAGTCGCAATGGGTAGTCCACTTGGGCCAACCCTCGCCGATGTTTTTATGGGTTACCTAGAAGATAAGGTGTCCTCAGAATTAAACATGACAACATTATACAGGAGATACGTGGATGATATATTCACGATTGTTGATAACAAGGAAGACGCCTCCGACCTACTTTGCCTGATGAATAATCTGCATCCTAAAATCAAATTTACGATGGAAATGGAGCAGTTTAACAAGTTACCCTTCCTGGACGTCCTCATGTTTAGAGAGGATGATGGTTCAGTAAGACGCTCCGTCTTCCACAAGACTACGTGGAAAGGGCAATACCTACATTTTAAAAGCTTTGCGCCAATACAATGGAAGCGTAATCTAGTACATACTCTTTTTCAAAGAGCGAGAAATATTTGCTCCAGGGAGACCATAGATACAGAAACTGCCCGTATCAAAGAAGCCTTACTTAATCGTGGTTATCCTGCACGCTTCATTCAGAAGTACAGCAACCATTTACGGCCAAAGTTGACGGAACAGTCCGTTCCGAAGAAGCCCGTTATAATATGTCTACCTTTTAAGGGTGACAACGTCTCAAACACAATCAGGCGACGCTTGCGTTGCACTATTGAAAGAACGTACAACGCAGCAGACCTTATCTTCATCAGTTCCACAAAAAGCCTTCCAATTAACCGGGCAAAGGATGCCTTGCCATTGCACGCCACCCCCAATTGTGTGTATGAATTCACATGCACTTGCGGATGCAAGTACATTGGGCGAACGCAAAGGCAATTGGCAACCAGGGCCGCTGAGCATTTGCCTAATTGGCTTTTCAAACAGGAAAATAGAACCCCCCGTTCGTCAATAACGAAACACCTGTTAGATAGCGGTCATGTTGTCGACCCTAAAGCATCCTTTCGAGTACTTGTCCGAGCACGTACAACTCGAACCTTGCGTTATTTGGAAGCAGCCTACATACGGAGGGAGAAACCAGACCTGTGCAAGCAGTTAGATCACGTGATCAATCTGCAATTGCCCTGGTAATCTCACGCCTCTATTTTCCTCTGACTGTGATTTGTTGTTAACATTTCGTCTTCCCCTTATTTCCTTTTTGATGCTTATGTGGACGTCTTATCTGATTATTGATTATTTTGAACTTTGACCTTGCTCCTATGCACTGCCATTCTGTACAAATTCATACTGCTGTGCGCTTTCATTCGTTTACCTATGTTATGCAGAGACGGGTTGCAGTTGAAAAGCCGTCACGAAATTTGTTGGCCCCAATAAATTCTGCTGTGCATGCTTGTTTTCAAATGGCCAATCAACGTGCGACGCTGCAGGTCAGAGTATTCCAGAACGCCCAACGCGATTGGTACGCCATTGGCCAAAGAGTTCGAGGACGGTCAGAACTCCAATAGATGGATGAGAGCTGGCGAGCTAAGGAGGCCATTGTTTTCCGCAGACTTAGAATAGGATGTTTGTATCCAGAACCCGCCTCCTCTTCCATCAAACCCGTCGGGATAGAGAAATCAGTAAAATCGGAAGACTGTTCCAAACGCGCTGCAGTGGGGCGAAAAAATGAAGCTAGCTTTCAAGTTGCTGCTCATTCGTCGAGATCCGGCCACACATTCTGATTTGATGAGACCGAAATTCCCACTAGGGGTGACAAATGCGTTAGGCGCGAGCTGCTTGAGTCATGGCTCACTGACTCCCAGTCCATTAACGAGTTCAATGACCTTCCTCTGCCATATTCGATGCTGAAACTTTGCCTAGGCGGAGTTATTAGCCAGGCAGAGGGCGCACTGACGAACATTTTTCTCACTGCCAGGGTCGGTGGGCCAGATGGTCAAGCAATCATCACACGAACATCCACCACCCGTGATGAAATTGCAACGATTAGGGTCTCGAATGTCGGCCATCGAACAATCATCACATCAAGTGCAACAGTCCCCGATGAAGTGGGGGAGCTGCGAATATTCATCGGTAGGCTGTAGCATGGCGACTGCGTCCTATAAATACTCCAGCCCCTTGTGCATGAACTACCCGTATCCGCTAATGCTCCTGGTGGCGGATTCGAGTAGGAATCCGAAACATCGGGTAAATAGCCCTCTTATTCCAGCGATCGTGCTTCCTAGTTCGCCCTGTTATCAATGACATCCGCCGTGTGCCCCACAGCACGGCAGGCGCGCGGACGGTGACTTACCGAAGTGATAGTGAATTTGCGTTGCGTCTACCGCGCTAACTCCCCCCTCACCTATCTGAGCCCGGTATAAAGACGGAGTTTTAGAATACCGGGAACGGGATCGGGCGCAGTGGCCCGTCTACGTATATACATTAAATGTCGGTCTGCCCCTATAGACCCTAGAATATACTATACTCCATGTTCGCAGACAATTTCTGAGGAAATTGAGAAGCAACGATTCCTAGATTGGAGTTTATACCAGAAAGCAGACGAGGAATGTTGAGGGACCCACTGATGAGCCGAACTCCTCGCAGTTGTTTCATGCAGCAGTAGAATATCGGCGAAACACGCGTGTATGGGCTTTTGCCTAGTACCTGTGCTGCTAATATGGTATCCCCTTACCCTAAGATAATCTACTGAAGATCGATCCAATAATCAGGCCTTGAAAATAACCCTTCTGATCGTGTTTGTCCAGTTATTCCGGTAGGACCAGAGAGGCAGAGTGTAAGAGTGACATGTCCAGTGTTCGTGGGTCGCAAGTCTCAGTTGAGAGACCACTCCGCTAAACGGAATCGCCCGAACTCAGCATTATTCCTCTTTCACATTTTGTACCAAGTACCTGCATCCTGCAAGCTGTTGGGGATCTTCTCAACTCTCGAGAATCTCTCGCTGTAAAAAATTGGGAGATCATGTTTAGTGGGTAAAAATAACTAACGTCTCATGTAGGAATTGCGCACAGTTGGATTCAAAATAATCACACTTCGAGTATCTTCTCCTAGGATTTAATTCTGTAGTTTGATTTGGACCCACAATTTGTCTGAGCTAGATTCGGATTTTGGCCTTCGGAGTTTTTAGCGGAAGAT